TTTTTGAATTGCTTAAATAAATGTGAGGAAAGTATAAAAGACTCCAAAACGTTTTGTGTTTAAAAGGTTTTCTTTTAATTGATTTTGGTAACAGAAAATAGAACAGCAGCTTTTATTATGTGTAAGGTTTTAGGGGCTCATTAACAATGCATCCGTGCTGTCTCTGTCATCTGGATCCATGCTTGAATGGAAAAGCAGTTGCCCCTGTTTTTTTCTGGAAATATAGAAACACATATTATGCCACGAATTTTGGCTTTTGTGATCAATTAGTTACCACATATAAAAGTAAAATAATGCACTTTACTGAATGTTCACTTACCTGGGCAAGGACTGCAGAAGCCTTTAACCAGCATCAGAGAAAACACCATTCCTCTAAGCTTTCACTGAATCCATCTAGCATGTGCGATTAATGGTTTAAGCCCACTACCTGTACAACAAAGCACTGGTTATGAATAATGGGATATTTAAGACGGCATCGATATTTCAGAAAAGGTTTTCTTGGGCTCTACAACCTGATTCGTTTAGATGAAACATCACTTATTTTTCTGAAATTACAAAACACAACAGTAAAGAATATTTTTCTACTTCTTGTTTCTGTGCTTCATAACTTCACTTTTATTAAATGATTTGTTCAAGTGCTGATAAATTGATTGTTCTAAATTGGTGTTCTAGTGTTAATAATTTAATTAGACCAGAATGTGAAGGGTTTTACTTTTTTTTCTTTATCTCTCATCAAACAGAAAAAATAGAGTTGAATAGATTAACTTTATTTTCCACATCAGTGGAAAATTGTCTTCAGTTCATGAAGCCATAAACAAATCAAGCAAATAACTTCACATCAACCTGCATTCACACTTCCACACGAGCACACATACAAAACATACAACAACAATAAAAACACATCACAGCATCTCATTATTCAGTATACCGATTGCTCTTTGCACAACTGACCCCTATAAGGTCATCGTGTGGGCGCTAATTCAAAGTCAGAATAAAGAGGGTGTTCACAGTCAGCAACAATAGACCGAGCTTCCCTGAAAACAGCCTCATGATGCAGCTTATCAAGCGAAGTTTGTTGTCCGCCAGTAATTTTTCCAGCAGTTCAGACAATCCTGTTTAGTTCTTACTTGCCACAGATGGGTTACCATACCAGACTGAAACACTGAACATAAGGATGCTTCTGATCTAGCTCACTTAAACTCTTTCCAGCACGTTGTGGTTCCAAAGCCTCCTGATAAGAAAGAATCTCTGATTAGCTTTCTTGTAATAAATTGTGTCAGAGACCGGTTAATGTGATCGCCACGTGCCAAAAATGAGAGGATCATCATGGCAAGAACACCAAATAATCTTCACACAATTAAACCTGCATAATAAAACATAAGACATGCTATGGTGAATATAGCCACACCCCCTCCCCTTACATGTCCCATTTTGTGAATGCAAAACTCTCCAAAACTGCTGTGGGATGTTCCTGGTTTGCAATCCAAAGTAGTCCAAAGAAGGGCAGTGATGAACTATTAAAAGTGTCGTGGGTGCATACGGCTTAATTATTCACATGGGGAACAAAGGCTGGCTACAGATGTGCTACTGTGGTTCAAATTCCCCAAAAATGTAATGCTGCTTCTGACAGAAAGGTATCGGAAAGCACAGTAACCCCGGGACATGTTGGAGAGATTACATCTCAGGGGTAGGTGGTGAGAGGGAGGTCTGAGCTTCTCTGCTGCTGCCCCCGTGACCTGACTTGGCTGCATGACTTTTTGTTTTGCTATTTTAAATTTGAACTTTTATTGAAGTGGTTATGAATTTTCAAACAACGGCATCCTTCATAATGCACAGCAGAGTGTACTACACTGTTTATTTACAATTTTTGAGCATATTGTCATATTTTACTAACACGTGAACATCTTTTGCAGTAACATGCTTTCAAATTATATTTAACATGATGCGAGGTGTCACGCAATTAATTGGAAAGATTCATTTTTGAAGAATGTGACGAATGGGATAAAATGCCTTTGTTATTCATTTTAGACATTTTCCATTTAATTGTTCTTAAATGTAACCGAATATCTGAGTGTTTCTTAGCTTTAGATTAGTCAGTTAGTCTAATTGTTTTTCTCAATAAGTCGGCTAAGAAATTAGTCGCCGGGAACATCCGTAGTCAATAGTACTGAGCGCTGCACTGAGGTCTAGCAGGACAGAGATGAGTCCACTGTCAGAGGTCAACATCATCTTCACTAAAGCTGTTTCTGTGCTATGATGGGATTTACGGAGGCTTTTTTTTATAGGGCAACAAACTATTTTTCTGGGCTAAATGATCCACCCTTCCATCCATTTTCTTCCTCTTATCCAGCGCTGGGTCACATGGGTAGCAGACTAAGCAAAGGAGCCCAGACCTCCCTCTCCCTGGCTACCTCCTCTGGCTTGTTCAGGGAAACACCAAGGCCAGCCAACAGATATCATCTCTCTAGCCTGTCTGCCCTAGAGCTTCCACCCAGTGGAACATACCTACAACACCTCACCCAGGAGCCATCCCTGTCAGATGCCTCAATTGGTCTATCAAAACCTGTATGGTTACTACAGCTGGATGTATGTTTGATTTTATAAACGGATTTATTGTAAATGGTCTGATTCTTATACAGCGCCTTTCTACTCAAAGCGTTGTATACAACATGACTCATTTACCCAATCACACCCATTCCCACAAGCACTTTCTCTGTACGTAGTGCTTTCCAACTACATTCACACACATTCATAAAATGTGCCAAGCACATTCTAAAGACTAATGGAGAGGTGCATGAAGGATATGCATTTGAAAGAGGTGCTAGTTTTTTCTCAAATTGATTGTGTTCTCTAAAACCCTGGAAGATCATGAAGCAAGATTGTTGGAGGTCCTCACTCATTTCAGAGTTCAGATTAAAGTTATCACCTGAAAAGTGTGTGTTTCTCCAGACCTCAGTGCGGAGAAACACACATCCAGAGAAAATCTCTGCCCTTTGTACTTGGAAAGTCCTTCGAGATCTCGGAGAATTGTGATCTTTTCTTGGATTTGCTGGATATTATCGAAGGTCTCTAAAAGTCTATTCCATGAAGTCCCTCAATGATCTGATTCATGGTCATTCTCAATCTACCAAAGGTTTAGATCAAGAGTCAGCCAAGACCAATATCACCCTCCCAAAGGGCTTTTTGGGAACCGCTGGACATCAGCTTGCCAGCAGGCGTTTTAGTTGCCAGAATGGCCCATGATGCAGAGAGGAAAATAAAGACCTGTGGTAGATGTGTGCGCAGAAAGGCGTTCCCTGACAAAGCCACACCATTAGGCAACATCAGTACTACAAGGCCACTTGAACTCTCTGTATGGATTTCGTCTCTCTCAAACCAGACGAAAGTGGAACCAAAGACATCCTTTTAATTGCTGATCACTTTACTAAGTATGCAATTGCCATAGCGACGTGCAATCAAAAACCCAGCACATACAATCCCACCAAGACTGAAATGACTGGGTTTGCAAACTTATCTTTGGTTGTTAGCCTCTACTCCTGAGACTGCATCAGGACTACTCCCCTGAGGCTATCTATCCACAGAGAAGTGACAAGCCTGTGAGGCAGACACAAGGACTTAAGCCAGCAACATGTCTCAGACTCTGATCAATAATATCCAGACCAAATCTCACAGACTGACCAGTCATGTAACTTCCCTGTTGACAGTCCAGATTTAGTAACTCTTCCAGTATCTGACAGCCATCGTCATGACACAGAAATCGTCATCGCAGACCAAAATCCACCAGCAGAGCTGCAGACTGAAAGAGTTGCATTTTAAAGTTTCAGATGTGTCCTTGATCCAACACAGCTGATTTAAATGGTTAAAAGACCTCCTCAAGATTTCTTGAAGTTCTCCAGAGGCCTGATATCGAACTAATCGTGTGATTCAGATGTGTTGACCCAAGGTGAGATCTAAAACCTGCAGCCGGCCCTTGAGGCCTGGAGTTGGACACCCGTTTGCTAGACGTTCAACTAGGGATTGAGAACAGCCGAAACACGTTCAGTATGAGAAACCTGGGCACCCACTAATAGCTGTGGTACAGTCTCTTTTTCAGGGTTTAACCACAGTTTTTACATATATTTTGGATGAAGGTTATCATTCATTTGATTGGCCTGTTTAGTCCCATCAGATAGTAATTACCCAACCATTGCCATGCAACGTGGCATGCATGAGTTCAATGGTGGAGGTTGTAGCCCAGCTAGAAAAAAAGAAAAATAATTTAGTCATGTTAGTCATTATTTTCTTTGAGATCTTCATAAAGTCCAGTGAGCTACAGTGAGTTGTCAAATGCAGCTAAGTGTTAAATCTAGGAGTCGTGAACATCGTCAGGCCTTCAAGTTGATAGAAGGCCTTAAATAAATGTGAGAAGGATATGATGCTGCAGTGATTTATTTTCTTGTACAGCACAGCTAGTTGAATTAAGATAAAGGTTACACAGATACTGATTGTTCACTCTGAATGTTCTGAGTACGTGAGACTGTATCACAACTGTATATGTGACTATATGGATCCTGTGACCTGTTTATAGGTCAGGTTTTTTTCCATCTGGTAAAACAATGACTCAACGGATGAAGCAGTCTGAAGCAGGCCTCCATTGAAGAGTAGTGATTCCATACGTCCAGCTAACTGCATGGCAAGCCACTCCAAGAGTGGATAAGACTGCTTTATTGAAGGCAGAGCTTTGTTTCCATCACATGACAGACAGAAAGCAACAAGTGAGGCTGGGGGAGATCACCTCTGAAACTCGGTCCCTCAGTATTGGTGCCCCTCAAGGATGTGTCTTCTCACCACTACTGTTCTCCCTCTACACTAATAACTGCACCTCCAAGAACTCCTAAAGTTTGCAGATGACACCACCATCGTTCAGGATGGTGATGAGTCTGCATACCGGCAGGAAGTTGAGCGGCTGGTACTCTGGTGCAGTCCGCACAATCTGGAGCTGAACACTTAAAACTGTAGAGATGACAGTGGACTTCAGGAGACATCCCTCAACTCTGCTCCCCCTCACCATATCAGACAGCCCTGTGTCCACTGTGAAGACCTTCAAGTTCCTGGGTACAACCATCTCCCAAGACCTGAAGTGGGAGACCAACATCAACTCCATCCTCAAAAAGACCCAGCAGAGGATGTACTTCCTGAGACAACTGGGGAAGTACAGTCTCCCATAGGAGCTGCTGATCCAGTTCTAGACTGCAATCATTGAGTCTGTCCTGTGCTCCTCCATCACAGTCTGGTGTGCAGCAGCCACTAAACAGGACAGGAACAGACTGCAGCGGACTGTACGGGCAGCAGAAAGGATCATTGGTGCTCCCCCTGCCCTCCATCCAGGATCTGTACCTCTCAAGAACCAGGAAACAGGCAGGGAAAATCATCACAGACCCCTCACA